GCCCAGTGGTTTGGTCCGGCCTGGCCTACCGGACCTGCCCGAGCTCCGTCGGCCGCGGCTCAGCTCGGCTCCCAGCGCCGCCTCCTCCTGGCCGGCCTGGGGCTGCGGCGCTCCTGTGGGTGGGGGAAGGCAGGACTGACGCAGCGTGAGTGTAGGGGCTGGAGACGCGGACTCCCGACGCGGGAGACTGGGGGAAGGGGTTGGCTGCCCAGGGGCAGGGATGGGACGGGGTGGGGGTGGAGGGGTGCGACGTTGCTAGGAGACGCGCTTGTGTGACCCCAGCCGCGCGAGGACGGCTTGGTGTCAGCGCCGCTGGCCTCGGGAACCTGCCCGGGGACGCGGCCCTAGACCTCGTTTGGGGTCGCGGAGATGCCGGTTTGCAGCCCCTCCCAGATTGTTCTGAATCCTTGGATCCCCCGAATGTCAATGGGAGATGAATAGGGGCAGTTCCAGGGGCGGGAGCGTCTAGCTGGGGAAGGTTGACCCAAACGAGACCCCGTACGGGACACGGAGATTTTCTAGGGTACTGAGACCCTTAATTCCCTCGGTCTGCAAAGAAGGCTTTGCTCCGCGACTTTTTATTCGAGTCCATTTGGAAGTTTAAAAGTCAATGAATAAGGAAGTTATCCGCAAGTGAGAAATGCCCCCCCAAAGACCAGTCACACCAGGTGAAGTGGTAGAAGATGGGGGGCCCGCGCCACTCCGAGGCGGGTAAGGCTGCTCAGGGGAGGCCAGGTTTTGCGGAGGTCGGAGAAGAGGGGGAAGCTAGAGAATGAACTTTCTGGGTGGAGAAAAGAGCCAGTGAGAAGGCCGGGTGGCTGGAATAGCAAGAACAAGGCCAAAGTGGTCTGCGATGGAGAAGCGGCAGGGCCTTTAGCCTGGGGTGCGGGTTTGTTATTATGTTCCCGAGGGCTTTAAGAAGGGGAGTGACAGGATCTGATTTCGTGTTTTAAAACATCTTCGTGGCTGCTGGATGGAGAAGGGTACAAGTTGTCACACCTCTTCGGAGGTCTGCAGCAGCCCAAGAGAGGTGCAGGCAGTAGCGTTCCAGTCGCCCGGGAGATGGAGAGAATTGCCTTGACAGTGTGTTTTGGAAGTGGAGCTTGCAGGACTTGCTGCTGAATTGGATGTGGAGTATATGGGGGAGAGAGGAACCAAGGCTGACTCCTCGGGGAAAAACAGTTTGGAGGGAAACACCGTAAGTTCTCTTTAGAGCATACTAGGTTTGATCAGTTTGTTAACCATCCAGGTGGAGACATGGAGAATTAGATATGCAAGTCGGGAAAAGTCGGAGAGATAGATAATGTAGGGGTTTATTTCTAGATCATCTAAGCCCTTAAAATCCTGGCAGCTCTACATTTAGAGATTACCCAGAGGAGAAGCCTGTAAAGAAACTCTTGACAGATAAAAGGAGCCCACCCCACCCCACCCCGCCCCTAATATACTGAATAATGGGACCCACAGTCATAATCAGTGAGACTCATCCTCCACTCACTAGCCAGCTTCTCATCTTGGCCATCAGTGCTTTTGGACGAGGAGCCACGTGATTCGTGTCCATTATAGCAAAGCCGACTTTGCTTGTTAGTTGTTTATGTCTGTCTCCCCCACAGAGTATTTCTTTGTGTCCTGCTGGCTCCTACTACAGAGCCTTGCACGTAGGGCCCAACATGTGACTAGAGCTAGGTACAAACACTGTTCACAAGATATCGGCCATGAACTTCGACAGTTTCTAACAAAGGGGCTCTGGTCCCTGCTGCCGCCGCCGCCACTGTAACCACAATCTCAATATGGTCAGTCTCGCAAAATCGAGAAGAATCAGAAGACCTGGGCTTCAGCCTTGGGTCTGCTCCTGACCGGCAGAGTGGCCTTGGATAAGCCTTTTTCTTTGAGCCGAAGAGGTTGGCCTAGGTAGAGACTGCAAACTGGCAAAACAGATATTGCCTACAAACATATTGTTCAGCCCACAAAGTGATTTAAATTCTTTTTTAATTTTTACTTGCCAACATTTAAAAATTGGACATCAAAATCCAGATTTTCAGCTTCCTTTGAAAAATGAAACAATCTGTCAATACCAGCCTGAGGTTCCTACACAGCGACAGTCAGCTAGGACCAACGAGCTGCTGCCCCCTTTGTGTGTGGCTCAGTGCTCAAGTTTGCCAAAGGTTGCCCCTCCCTCCATTACCTGCCCACCCCGGTGGGCACTTAATTTGCAATTCTTGATCTAGGGTGGTGCTGTCTTTATGTAGCCACTAAGCTACATGTGTAGCTACTTAAATCTAAGTAAAATTTAAAATGCAGTTACTTGGATTCACCAGCCATGTTTCCAGTGCCCAGTAGCTACATGTGGCCTGTGGCCACCTTGGTGGACGGCACAGATATGGAATATTTCCATCATCGAAGATGGAACGTGAAGGGTTCTGGGTGCTAATCATTCCACACACATCAACATGGGCAGTTAGGAGCTCGGTGCCTCTGCAGATGAGAAAAGTGGCTCCTTTGATAGTTGGAGGCTACCTGGAAACTGATGAAGGCAGGGACCCCGGCACACAGTGAGATTATTTATCAGGTGGTTGGACCACGGGTCAGGGGGTAGAAAGCTCCGGCCCGTGTATAATGTTGCAACCGAAGTCCTTTTGTCAGTTTCCTTATTCATTTCTATAAGAAATTGTCACAAAGGAGGGATTTAAATGTTAATTTAAATTGACGTGGTCAGCGTCCTGGGACTTGCCTAATTCCTGTGCAGGGTGGAAGTCCTGGGTAGTGATGAATGAGTGACCAGGGCTGATGTTCAGCTTTGACCTAGTTTTCATCTATTTCCGGCAGGCGCACACCCACACACACCCAGCACCACCTCCTGCTTGTGGTAAAGTTGTCGCCGCCTCCGGCTGACCCCTTACCTGGTCTCTGTCCGCAGGTAGGGAAACACATCCTTCCACTGCTTTTGACTTAAGGGACCGAAACTCGATTTCCATTGAGAATTTCTGTCCCGGAGGGGAATAACAGCTGTGTATTTTTTGGTTACAATAGCGTGACTGGAGTTCCCCTTACAAGTACAATCTTGTGTATGTGCTCCTGTGCTGGCGTATTAGAATGAGTATAGCTTAACCTCGTAAGATCTTTTAGGGAATAATTAGAAGTCTTTCAGATGTCAATATTTCTGGTTTATCCCTGCGTTCTGAAGAATTCTCATATTACATGGCCAACTAAATTCCTTTCTCTTTAGGTGAAATAAAAATACAGTCGGCCCTCTCCTCCCTGCCCTTTCTCTGTGACACCATATTGGCACTTTCTGTATGAAAAGATGCTGTTTCAGAGAATAGCTGTGGTATGATCAGGCACACACGGCACAGCATATCCTGAGGTTTGTAAAACAAGTGTGTGGCATTATACTTCCCTTTTTGGATTCTAGTAACCGAAAACCGAATCCAGGACAGGAAACAAGTCTGTGGTGTATGTGTGTGTGTTCGTTGGTAGAGGGCAGGGAGGACAGAGGACAGGCGTCTGGGGCACGGTTTAGCTTGGAGGTTCCTGGCTTCAGTGAAGGATGACACTGTATAGGACACGGGTATACACCAGAAAGTTGGGAGCGTGACAGACCTTGGAGAAGGGTAAGCAAGGAGCCGGGGGTACAGGAAGCACACGGGCAAGGGAAGCCCGGTCATGCTCGCTGTCGGCACCTGCGCCGCATTTCCAGTCAGGAACATGCTCTGAGGTCTGAGGATAAGCCGGGCGTCCAGCCGGGCTGTTGACTCACTGGAGAACAATAGCCCCTCGCTGTGCAGGGATATTAACGATCTGAGGGAAAGGCTTTCGGAAAACCCGTCACCACCACAAAGCAACAGGTTTGCCAGCCCCAAACGCCGGCGCATTTCTCCGCCCCCCTGCACAAAGCCGAACACAGATAAAAGAGGCCCCTTCGTTCCCTCCGTCCGCTCCCTGTGCGAAGTGACTTACGCGGATCGTCTCGTGGATGCTCCTTACGGCTCCTCAGAGATGGTTCTGTCGTTACCCCATTCCACACTCTAAGAAACTGAGGCTCGCGAACACTGGCCTGACGTCATGAGGTCAGGATTTGGACCCAGGGTTGACCGCCCCGGAGCCCATTCCTCTTCCTCACGCACGTGGGGGAGCGATGTCTAAGGCCAAGGCAGCCGCCGTCCACTCTGCCATCCACGGTCAGAAAACCCGTCCACTTCGGCATCGTAAGAGATGTTCGGTTCCCTAGCAATTTTCCAAATGGCAAAACTTTACATCATAATTTGCAGGGTTGGTTTTGACCCCTGGTCACTTGGGTACGAGGAACCTTATTCCCCAAAAGGGTTGTTTTTCAAGAAGAAAAGTATCAGAACCCCGTGTTCCTATGTTTGGTTCTAAGCGTCATGGAAACTAAATCATTTCAGTCCAGTGGACAAACCTTAACTGGCCTTGAGGAACTGGAGAGTGAGCGTTACTTTTTTTAAATAAGGGTTGGTTTTGACCCCTGGTCACTTGGGTACGAGGAACCTTATTCCCCAAAAGGGTTGTTTTTCAAGAAGAAAAGTATCAGAACCCCGTCTTCCTATGTTTGGTTCTAAGCGTCATGGAAACTAAATCATTTCAGTCCAGTGGACAAACCTTAACTGGCCTTGAGGAACTGGAGAGTGAACGTTACTTTTTTAAAATTCTTTTTTAGGCGAGGCAACCCTTCCTTGACCTCACAGAGCGCAAGGAAGGGTCAGCTTACAATCCCTTATTTTTTTATATTTTACGCCTACAGCATCTGTTCTTCCTAGGCGGTCTCCCATCCAAGTACTGACCAGGCCCGACCCTGCTTAGCTTCCGAGGTCAGATGGGATCGGGCTTGTTCAGGGTGGCGTGGCCGTAGACAAGTGAGGGTTACTTTATAGCTGTGCCGGAGACGGAGCCGATAAGGCCTCCTCCCCACGTCCATGCTTCACGCTGACAGCCACAGCGCCACTCTCAGAAACGTCGTGGAGGCTTAGTATTTTTAAATGCTCTAGGGTCTTCAGTTGGGACACCTGGCCCAGGTACCATCGCGTGCATCAGGATGGGAGTGGACATGAGCGGTGACTGTTCTGAGCATCAATCGATTCTTCTAACGAGTGTATTTCAAGCCCCAACTGCACACCAGGCCTAGGAGTGTGACGAACGAGGCCACGACACATACACCTCAGAGGAGGGGGAACCGAGCAGAAAGTTAAGTGGAGAAGGGTGAACGTCACAGCAGACAGGACTGTGCCGGAGGTGCGCGGAGCAGGGACGCCGACCCCGTGTCCGTATGGAGGGCCCGTGACCCACAGTGGGAGCCGAGGGGTGACAGCGGCCGCACGAGGAAGAGCTGCGGGTCGGCGCCTTCGTTTGTCAACAAGGCTCCCAGCTCTAAGGAGACAGGGCCGAGGGATGGGACCGGCCACCGCTGATGCACAGTGACCACGTGAGACTGTGATTCCCTGTGGGAAGTTCCACGGCCGCCACCCTGTCCCCAGCCCTCCAAATCGAGCACTTGGGAGAGAAAGTTGATCGTCACATGGATGCAGCACAGGGCGGATGTCACCGAGTTGGATTCGGAGGACCAAGTCTTAGGAGAGAGAAGAGGGTCCTTTGGCAGAATGTGGAAAGAATTCAACACACGCCGAAGTTAGAGTCAAAAGGAAAGTTTGTTAGAAAAGGGGTGACACCCCACAGACAGTGTGTGCCCCTCTCAGAGGCAGAGCGAGAGAGACCAAGGGAGACTGGGAAGGGGGTGAGTAGGGGCTGTGAGGGACCCAGGGCAGTCAGGGAGCGCGGTTTATATGTCATCCTTTAGTTCCCGTTCCCTTGGAGATGGACATACAGGGACGGAGGAAGGTGGGTATGGAGCCCCAGGGGCCTGCCGGCTGCTCCCAGCCTGCAGGCCATAGGTTCCCCGTGGCCTTAGCCATGGGGAATGAACGCTTTCATTTGTGTAGGGCAGACACTCAGAGACTCTTGTCCCTGTGTCCCCTTCCACGGGTGTGGGGAATGGGCTGTCAGCATCCCAGCAGAGATCGGCCCGCAGATGTCCCCGGGGCCTGGCTGCGGGTGATCAGCACGTGGCAGTCCCTGAGGGCGGCTTGATCAACATTTTGTTCTCTTGCCTGCTCCCTGCATTAACGTCACGTTCATTCATTCGTTCACTGGGTGCGATGAGAGAAAATGCCACCCAGGGCAGGTCGCGAAGGAGGGAGGAGCCCCTCCCCCCGCGGGCGGGCCTTCCCTGTCCCTTGTCATGGTACGGCCTCGTGAGCACCCAGCGTGTGGAGTTCTGACATTCCTGAGACTCGAGTCATAGTCTATAACCCTCCTCCGGGACGGGCGTTTTCTTCTCTGCTCTCAGGCTCCCACGGGTTCAGCCGGGATGGTCTCCCCGAAGGCGGGGGAAGGGCCAAGCTGCCGGAGCCCCTGGCACTGGCGGACCTCGCCACCGCCCTCCTGGGAAAGCACATGTGGACGCACCGGGCAGGCGTGCGGGCGGAGGGGGCTCTCGGGGTCCGTCCAGACCCTCCACTGTCGCTCTCGCCTGGGAGCACGAGCAGGTGGTGCCGTGGTGTTTGTTTATTTTTTATTTTTTAGGAGATTCATCACTGCGCATTATGAGTCCCCATTATTGACTCCGAAATAAAAACGGGGAAGAGCTTCTGGTCGGGGAAACGCGCATCCAGGGACTTTGGCCCCTGAGCCCGGCTCTCCTGTGAGTGGGGCGGCATCGGGCAGGGCTCTTCACCCTCTGCAGACTGGTAGGATCATTAAGAAAACAGTTTGGAATCCGGCACATTTTAAGAGATACACATCAGACCATGCATGATACTCCAACTTGCTCAACACCGCCAGAGTCAGAAATTGCTTTTTTTGTCTGTCCTCTGCCACGAGCGTGTAAGCTCTAGGAGGGCGGGACGTGGCTGCTGGCTCATCACTGTGCCCCGCTCCTGCCTGCGCCTGGCCCGCAGTGTGCACCGCGTAAACGTTGAGTGGATGACGCCTGGGTGGGTGCTCGTGAGAGACGTGTGGATGTAAGAAGCATCCAAACCTGTAGAGAATTCTCATAAGCCTTTTCCTGAGCCAGACCGATGACAGCTGCTGAGAAGCTAGATACATGCTCTGGAGAGAGACAGTTTCACAGTTTCTTTTATGTATTTGGGGTTAAAGGGGGAGGCGTAGGGAAGAGGAAGGACTGAAAGCAGAGAAGGTGGGGTGGGGTGGGGTCACGGGACAGGTAGCAGGACTGTGTTCTCTCTCTCTCTCTCTCTCTCTCTCTCTCTCTCTCTCTCTCTCTCGGGTGGTTATGGCTTATAGCAAAGGCGCGTGAACCTGGATGCACAGAAACCATGGATGGTGCTTGCAGAAGGCAAAGAGGTGCCTTTTACTACAGGAGCTACAGGCCTGGGGCGTGACCGCCCTCTGTGGCCTGCCCTGCGAGGAACTTAGGATCGGATCTCCCTGAGAGGTGGCTTTCTGTGGGACCCCTTTTTGGTCCTCAGTAGTGTGAGGCCTGCAGGCCAGTGGCGCTGCGCTGAGCCCCAGTGTCTCTTCTGTGACGTCAGCTCCCTCCTGAGTGTTGGGGACGCGTTGCTGCAGGGGGCGGAAGAGCAGAGCGGTCCAGCCACATGGGCTTCTCCGAAGGCACCGGCGTGAAATGCGATCGTTATAGGCACCAGCGTGTGATATGATTGTTATAGGCGCTGGTGTGTAACGTGATTGTTATAGGCGCTGGTGTGTAATATGATTCTTATAGGCGCTGGTGTGAAATGCGATCGTTATAGGCGCCGGTGTCTGATGATTGTTATAGGCACTGGTGTGTAATGCGATTGTTATAGGTGCTGGTGTGTAATGTGATTGTTATAGGTGCTGGTGTGTAATATGGTGTTATAGGCGCCGGTGTGTAATGATTGTTATAGGCGCTGGTGTGTAATGATTGTTTTGGCACCAGTGTGTAATGCGATTGTTACAGGTGCTGGTGTGTAATGTGATTGTTATAGGTGCTGGTGTGTAATGTGATTGTTATAGCCGCCGGTGTGTAATATGGTGTTACAGGCGCCAGCGTGTCATATTAAAGTAGGGCAGTCACAAGGGCAGGTGGTATATGAGAAACGTCACAGAAAGATTCATGTCATCGAGGTACAGAAAACGCCTTTTGCTCGCTGTGGAAAGGGAATGGAATTGTTTAGCTCCCTTTGTCACAACTGGCTAAACTCTTTCAACAGCGGGCAGAGGGCGGACACTCGGCTCAGGCACTGAGGTGGAGCAGCCTCTCAGTGACTGCAAGTTGGGGTTTGAATGCGGGCCCCGCCCCCTGCTAGCTACCTGACGCCGAGTCACTTCACCTCTCTGCACGCATCCCTCCTTTTAGGAGACAGTGGTGTAGTAGCTCCCTCACGTGATTGTCGCAGTGACGATCGGAGTTAAGGTACGGAACGCAACTAAGGAAGCCTCTGGCACAGTGAGCACAAAGCAGAGGCAGCTTCTGTCATCACCCCGGTGAGCGGAACAGCCCCACCCCTCCGGGAACTCGGGGACAAGGGACGATGAAATCGCAAAAGAGCAGTAGCTGGCCGTGGCAGGCGCTCTGAGGGGACGCGGACAGCGTCTACCAGGTGGGGCGACAATGCCCGTTCTAAGTGGGCGGCTCAGCCGGGACAGACCCCGAGGCTTGACACAGCAGCCGCTCCCACGCTTCTGTGTTTCAGACCCCACGTCACACTTTTTACTAGTATTCACCTATGCTTTAAACCAGCTGAAAATGTTTCGTAATACAGTTATTTAAAGGAAGCTGCATCAGTGTAAAATGAAAATCACTTTTAAATCATGGGCTTGATGGGCTATTAAAACATTAAAAGAATCACAGTAAGAAAATAAGTATTGATATCGTACATCAAAAGTCACCTCCCCAGCCAGTCTTTGGGACTCCTGCGTAGGAGAATCCCCCAGCTGTGAGTGGAGGCCACGCACTGCCGGCAAGCACACAGTAGGGGTTTGTTTGGTCATGCACCAGTCCTTGCGAGGCCGTGACAGGAGCGGGGTTTGGTTTCAAGCCACTGAGCCCTTCGGAAGGAAGACCCAGGGGAAAGGCGCTTCTCCTAACTAAACAAGCTGCTGATGGGCCAGACACAAACTCAAACCGAAAGGAAAAGAGCTTTCTCAATTTTTAAAAACATGGCTGACTTTGCTTCCAGAATCGAGCTTTCTGTAGCATCATTTCCATTTATTCAGCAAGCGTGTTGAACGCCGTTACACACCTCGCTAGGTGCCGAGAACTCAGCAGCAAATAAGAGGGATGTGGTCCCTGTCCCCATAAAGATCAGAGTCGAAGGGGCAGACGGACATTACAAACCGTAACTTGAGTGATAAGTGCTGCAGAGAAGAAATACAAGGGGCTGTGAGAAGGTTCCAGAGAGACGCCTCTGATGCGCGTGGCGGGGGGAGGGGCCGGGTTTTCGGACACGTCCGTGTTTCCCCTGGGAACCGAAAGATGACTAGGGGTTGATCAGGTACCACGTGGGAGGGAGTCGGGGGAGAGCCTTCTGGAAAGGGGGGACAGGTGGGTATGTGCCCCCAAGGATTCCCTCAAAGAACTGGAAGAATCCAGAACGAAAGCATTTTTTCCTCGCCTTCTTGCCAGGAGCGGGAAGGGAATGAATGACAGGCTCCCTTGGCGGTAGCTCACGGTGCGCTGCGGGACCCACAGCGTTGTACCCTTCTCCCCGAAAACCGTCCGCAGCTAGGTTTTCTGGGTCACCTGGCCTCGCAGAGGGAGCCGTCACTTATCTCCTTTCGGGATTAGGTTTCCAAATACTTAAACATTAATTAAAGTGTTTTGAAAATAGGCCTATTAAGTACCCATTGTCAGTTCCGCTTGTTACCTTGAGTGCCCTAATTACGGGGCTCCCGTCAGGATTATGGGATCTGATGGGTACAGTTGGAAGCTGAGGTTCTTAGCCCGGGGACGGAAAGCAATTAAAGTCAGACTTTGCGGAAGGTTGGAAGGTGAGAAGGTCGCTGCTGTTGTAATGGGCCAGCCCTCCCCCACCTCTCCGGTGCCATTAAGTCCAGGCACGTAATGACGGGAGTGGAAGTCAGTGACAGGCCTCCCTGCCCCTTGCAGGAGCTGGCTCACGTATTTTCATTATGAAACCGTGGGATTTTAGCACGCGTCAGAAACTCAGAAGTCTGTGACTTACCAGGAAAGATGTCATCATCTTATCTGGGTTTTCATTAACCATTAGCCACAAACCATGAGGCTCTCTCTCGGTTGGTATGAATTCCTTTTAAGCATTTTCTGACACATCGTGGACATCGGAGTTGGTGTTGGAACTTTCGAATTGGGTGAAATCGTGCTTTCAAGCTTTCGTCAAACGGTTCAGCCTGGGCTCGTTTCCTCATTGCTCAGGAAAGGTCAGCAAGTGGCCAGTCGTCTTGGAAAGAGGAATTCTCTGTAAGGTGAACTCTGTGCAGGAACTTGGAATTTCTAGGTAAACACACCTCCTTCCAGATCCCACCTGTATCCTGTACCTGCCCAAACTCTCATCAATCTAGGACCACCCCACAGTGCACGGTGTCGTGTTACGCCCCCTGCATGGGCAGAACTGGGTCCTGATCCCAGGGTGGCCAGCGGCCTGCTTCCTGTTTGAGGGCAGCCGGGACGGGACGCGTGATGGGCATCCTAGCGCCCAGTCCTGCCGCTCACTCCCCACCTGCCACTGTTACAGGCGGCGCCTCTGCCTCTCCAATGGTGGGGCTTTCGTTTTTTTCCTCCTCCTTGAATTACTTTTAGACACAGCAAAAATACTAAAGAAACAGACCAATGTTTTTGCATAAGTGACAGAAAAAGGGAACACCGATGTCCGCTGGGGGTGGGGGGGGCATGCACGGGGGTGGGGTACCTTCATGCCGTGGACAGCCGCAGCGGGGGCGTGTGACAGCAAGGGTGGGTCCGACCAGCACGGGCCAGAGCAAGCAGTGGGAAGACGTACGACCTTTTACACGTGACGTTCTTAAACTCGCCAGGCAGTGCTACCGCGTGTTAACGTGAAGACACGAGAGAGAGATTCAGGGTCGCGCTTCCTCCTAGGCGAGGTACGGCGGGAGTTTCGGCGACGTCTAAAATTTGTTCTTTAAGGTCCGTTGTGAATATATGGCTGTCAATTATGTTATCCTCTCATGTTTTCATATATCCGAAATATTGCATAATAAAAATGATAACAAGAACTTAATTTTTAAAAATACAGTTAGCTTTAGGGAATGTATTTGGGTCGGGTCTCAGCCAAGTCCTCGGAAATCGAAACTGACGTTTCAGACTCAAAACCCAGAGGGGCCACAAGAGCTTCCGTCGTCACAGAGACCTGCAGTTGCACCGACTGTACAGCCCTTACGTGGACAATGTTTTCAGCAAGGTTACGGTGAACTGCGGGGTTGTGACCTGACAGCGTCAGGGTAGGCTAGGGCCTGCAACACACGGGTTCGGTCTTCATGGTACTCACATTTTTGAAAATAATCAATTAGCGTCTTTTGAGAATTTATATTTAAAAACCTGGACTGCCATCGGGGACATGTCCTCCCCAGTTGGCCACTGTCCCCACCCAGCCAGGTCTCATTTTGTTACCTGCCAGGCCCTGGAGGAACTTGAGTTTGTAACCCTTGCACTAGATTCAAGTTCTCACTTAACTAGAAAACTCAGTGATTCAAAATGTGCCTTCTCAAGTTAGTGATGTAATTTTACCAGGAGATGCACTAAAAGCGTCATTCCTGAGATATCCTGGTACAGGATCTACCGGGTTAAAGACTTGTAAACGGGTATTTTGGTTCTGACATGTTTATAAAAATGGCTGTCATGGCAAACAGCACCGTGGAGCGACTCAGCCACGGGGCGATGCAAGAGGCAAGCTGAGAGCTGGCTGGTATTCCCACGGGGCCGTTCCGGCAATGCTACCACGCAGATTTGTTGAGAAAAGGCAATTATTTCTAGGCTAATTAAAGAGCTTGATTAAAAAAAAAATGTACAACTGCCTAGCTGCCTACTGTCAAGTTGAATTTTTATGCAAATCTTCCCTCTTCTGTTTTGGTGGGTCTGAAGATGACGACAGCCACACGACAAGAAGTTCTTGGCCTCTACCGCCGAATTTTCAGGCTTGCGAGGAAGTGGCAGGCGGCATCCGGGCAGATGGAAGACACCATTAAAGAAAAACAGTACATACTGAACGAAGCCAGGACGCTGTTCCAGAAAAACAAAAACGTAAGTAGGCCTCCGTCGGAGGTTGCAAGGAAGAGAGCAGTTTCTCGTCTGTTCATTTCTTTTCCGTCCCCAAGTTGAGGGGACCAAGCGAGCAGCAGAAGTCACGGTGGCGGAGCGCGGGCAGGAAGCGGCCAGAGGCGCAGCCGAGCCAGCGTGCCCGCCCCCGGGGGCAGAACCCGGCCCTGTTTCTCCACGTGGTTCTGGTCTTGCTCCAACTGGTCAGGGGCCCGGCATCCTCAGAAGACCCCACGAGCTAGGTGACAGGAGTCCGGCTGGTGACAGTTGTCAGGGGCGGAGTGGTCCCTCCACGCCGCGCCTGTGGCCGGCCCCGTGCACAGGAGGTGCGCGTGAAATTGGTGTTTCTCGGTGTATGATCTACTCAGAGCGCCCACGGAGGACCCCGTTCAGTGGGGAGAGATGAGGTCAGGACACAGGCTCCCTTCACGACCTGGCCGTGAACTCGAGCCTCGGGCTAGCTCCCAAGTTTGCCCCGACCCTAATCCACACCCCCATCCCCTTCTCGGCACCCCGAGGCCTCCCTGCTCTGCGGGGCCAGCCTGCCCGTGAAGCGGTTCTGCCTTTAGCGCAGACACGCGTGCCCCGTCGGGGGCAGTGTCCCGCTGTGCGTGCCCCCTCGGGGGCGGTGTCCCCCTGCCCCCGAGGCCCCCTGAGGCCCTCACACCGTCCCGAGGAAGGAAGCTACACACTGCAAATGCCGTTTCTGTTGCGTCCTTCAAAAAACAGCCTGTTTTGCGTATATTTAGAATGAAATTATTAGTACATTTAATGACTTACTAGTATACATAGAAATCAGTGTAAGTACATATATGGGACCTGTGGGCTCAGAAATATTTCTTGAAAGTAAAAGATGTCCGAGGAGTTCACAGACCCCTGACCTGGACCTGCTCTAAGGACTTCGTCACACTCTTTTTTCTTCTTGTTTCTTTTGACTCTCCCTGGCTGGCCGGTCAGCTCCTCAGGTTCTAGACGTGTCACACTTCCCTAGTGTGCCCCTGGGCCCTGCCTTGTGCTCGTCATAAATCAACGAGCATCGACAGGTTCTTTGATTCAGTCGGCCTTCTCCGGGAGCCCCTCTCTGCCTGACCCGTCCCTGCGATGACCCTGTGCTGAACTCCCTGACTTTGTCACCATGCTGCTTCTGTAGCTTCACGTGTCAGGGTTGCTCTGCCTGGGTGGCAAAGGCAGGGACTGCGGCCTCCCCGTGTCCGGCCCGGTGCTGGGGGTGTCGCAGCAGTGAGTGCCCCGTACGCCCTGCAGGCTCACCCAGGGGGTCACCGCTCAGGACCCGTTTTGTCATGGCAGTGATTGACCCCGCATTCGCCTCTGCTCGAACTGCGGGTGTGAGCCAGAGGGAGGCGTGTGTGCCGGTGACGACGCGTGAGGGAGATGATTTTGCGGTGGGGGGAGGTACATGCGTTTTTAACTTTAAGACTTGTGCTCGTTTCACTGTGTATTAGAAAGAAAATAGAGTATCAGGCCATTTCACAAATGCTGCGCCTTTAGGAGAGAGTCCATTTAAAGAAAAAGTTTACTATTAGCATGGGTGCTGTGTAGATACAGCACACTCATGAGGCAGCCTCTGGATGACTGGGTTTGGAGAGCTGTACCCCAGACTCGTCTCGATGGACAGGGGAGCCCAGGAGCCCCAGCCCACTGCCCAGCGCCTTCTCCGGGCTCCTTCCTCCCCGTCCCTCATACAAACTAAGTAGTTTCTCGTAACCTCGCTTGCTGTAAGAGCTTGATGATCATCCAGAGGTGGCGCACAGACCGCTCCGAATCGTGGGCAAACGGGAGGGAACACGGATGTCTGTACCCAAGGCGAACACCAGCGCAGCAGCTGCTGAGAAGCGCAGAGGTCAGAGGCACAGCCTCTGCCCCAAGGGACCCAGCGGGGGTTCTGCGCGTTGCAGTTCCTGGAACTCTCCTCTGTGCCAAGAGGTGCCACAGGACACGAAGGCCCTTGGAATTTCCGAGAGGCCAGCCCAGACTTCCCTGGGGGTGTCATCGGGGCTGATGCAACCCCCGCTCCGCCGCGAGGCCCACCTGCAAACGCCTCCCAGAGCCGTGTGGTGACTCATTTTCCGTCCTCGAGTGAAAGGCGCTGTCCCCTTCTCCATCTGGCTCTGTGCTGCGGAATGAACTTTGCATTCCTTTCTCTGAAACTGGACTACCACGATTTGACAATTTCGTAATGTCAGAAGTCATTTCTTCCCCTTACTAATGAGCGAGGCGGTTCACAGTTCAAAACGAGAGCTGAATCACCCTCCAGAATCTCACGCAGCGGTGTCTAGACGGTGCTCGCTGAGACAGTTCGATCGGCTTGAGGAGGGTGTGAAGGAGCGCACTCACTCAGCGTCGGTGGGAATGTAATTCGTAGCTTGCTCGTGGGAATATAAATTCCCCTTAAAGGTGTCGTCTGAATCTAGCGGGAATATCTGTGAGAATTAAAAACGCAGGAACATACACCCTTTGACCCCATAGTTCTCTGTCTGGAATTTTTATCTTTTAGATATATTTGCACGTGAGCCAAAAGAAATTTAGAGGGATCCATAGCACAATTGTTTATAATGGCAAAAGATTGGAAATAACCTAAGTGTCTGTCGGTAGAAGATTGGATAAATTATATTACAGCCTGCTGTTGGAATTTGGTGCTGTTAAAAAGAATGGGCCAGCTTTATATGTGTAAACGTAGAAGGACCTTCAAGCTGTTAGTGGAAAAAGCAAGGTTCAGAACAAAGCAAGCTATCGTTTGTGTAAGAAAAAACCTAAGTATATACAGGAGTGCTTCTGTATGCCTGGATTATCCCTGGGGGACCAATTCAGAACAAAGCAAGCTATCGTTTGTGTAAGAAAAGAAAACCTAAGTATATACAGGAGTGCTTCTATATGCCTGGATTATCCCTGGGGGACCAGCGAGAAACCGCTGGTAATTGGTGTTCCTGAGAAGGGGAGCTAGGACAGAGCGCTGAGAGGGAGACTTCTTTCTGATATTACATCCTTTGCTATCGTTTGAATTATTTTTTACCACGTGCTCATATTACCTATTTCAATAATTTTTAAAAGTTTAATCCACAGTAAATGTCATATTAAATTGCTTTTGATTTTTCAAACATCAGTGCAGTGTGCTGCACAGAGGACGCACGCCCAGCTCCGCGTGCGCTAGGAGCTGCTCACAGCCCGCTCTCCGCTTTCACAGCTCACGGACGCACGCCTGATCCAGCAGTGCATAGAGGAGTGCACGGCCAGGATCGAAATCGGACTGCACTACCAGATCCCGTACCCGAGGCCCGTAAGTGCGACCCGTGTTGGCGTGCGGTGGGTCCGTGTCCGTGTCAGCCCGGCCATGTCCGGGGAGCGCCCCGAGAGGGCCAGCGCTGGCCGAGAAGTCGGGAGCTGCAGGAGGCACGCTGGGAGCCGGCCGTCCTCGTGTGCCGCCGGCTGTCACCACGGCCCCACGCGGCAGGGCAGGCCCCCTCCCTCCCGTACGGGAAAGCCAACTCGCGCTGACGCCGCCTTTCACTGTTTTATGGAAAAATTTGTGTTTTCCTTATTGCGTCCGACGGGTCTGTTGTTAATTAAAGAACAAAGTTCAAACGTTAAAGGAAAGCATCATAATGTCAAAGGTGAAAATTGTCAAAAATTCACACCCTGTGCAGAGACTGCCATCACTGTGGGGTCTGACTCGATGAAATTGCCAATACTCTCCTCTTGACCTAGAAAACCAGCAATTTCGTATTGTATTGGTTCAGCCTAATAGTTCAGTGATACATCCTCATAGCCTCTTCTGTACTCATGCACGTATTTTTGTTTATTTATTATTCATTCATTCATTCATTCATTCATTTTTTTACTTAAAGTACCTGGGATCCCGGGCGTACTGTTTGTTGCCTGTTTATTTTACTTCCTGTCTGCTGGACATCGCTGCCTCCACCTTTTCATGGGGTCGCACCGCATGCCTGTAAGAAGGTGCCGCAGCTCAGCCAGCGCCATTCGGTGGGCGGTGACGTGGGTCCCGGTTCTCCCCTGCGCACAGATCGTGTGTCCACACGCGTCTCTTCTCACCTTCTTTGCGTTCTCATCTCACTGTGAACCGTGGCCATTTTCCCCTCCATGCAGGCAATAAAGAGGAGCACACGCTCTGGGATCAGACAGATGTGGGTTCGAATCCCGGCGTCACCACTTAGCGTATACTCTTGAGCGAGTTCTAACCTCCGGGCCTCCGTTTTCTCATCTGTAAATGTGGACGAAATTCCTTCCGAGATGATCATAAGGGTTAACGTGTGTAAGGATTGCAAGCATTAACGAGTCTGTGGATTGAGCGCTTAGCAGAGAGCACGGTATTTACTAAATCCTCGGTGAACATGAGCTGCCGTAATGATTATCATTCTTAATATTGTTATTTCTCTTCTTATCCAGATTCATCTGCCTCCAATGGGCCTTACCCCACTACGAGGCCGGGGCCTTCGCAACCAGGAAAAGCTGAGGAAGCTTTCCAAACCAGTGTACCTCCAGTCTCACGATGAGGTTTCCTAGCCCGGAAGGAGGTTGATTCCCCTGCACGATGAGCCCACTAGGTCTGCACTATAAGCCAGATGACAAAACCCTTCTGCCTGACGAGGGGCAAAAATTCGAATATCTTCTTAAAAACCTCCAAAATACTGATTCTCACCGCGTGATGTGTGCTGTTTGTCAAGGCCTTGCCGCCTGAGCAGACGACACCAGTCCTAGAGGCTGCGGACCGCACATCCTCCCCAAAGCATCATTTAGAAGCAAGGCTGAGGCCCATGGGAGGCTTTTCCTCAGAAGACCTCGCTGGACACGCCAGCCGACACACAGACGTCACCCAGGTCCTGGAAGTCCTCGTGGCGGCTGTCAGACGACACACCACCCTCACAATAGTTCAGGCTGCTTTTTCAAGTATCAGATTTGCTTAAAAGTGGGCTTTTTGTGTGTTGTCTTTTGACCCTTCCAATTTCCAGATAAACCCTCCTTAAAAAGTGCATCATTGGATTTATCATGGTTTTTCATGGAAATTTTCTATGAGTCCCATCCCCGCCCCCGACACAACACATACACAAAAGTGCGTCGTAGCTAAATGCATGTTTGCTTTGTCTTTACAGCGTGTAATTACTTGGGATGCACTTAGCCTCTGAAAGGCTCATTTGAAACTCATACTGCATTCATTATGAGTATTTTACCTTGACATAATTAGAATGTGCAAGGGCCAAGCTGGCTCTCAAATGATGTCTAAGCAGAAGTGGGACAAGGAGAGATCAGAACACCAGGGCGCACACCCCGCATGTGTGGGGTCCAGTGAGACCCCCCCATGGGAAGTCAGTAGAAGTCTGTAGCATTCCCTCCACTTCCAGAGAGGATGGGCGTCACCAATAAACACAAATCTCTCGATTTTCGTCTCCGTATTCTTTTCCAAAATGGCCTTGTGACCCGCAGATGCAGCAGCTGACGACTTCCTGTCCGTACCTAAATTTAGGATTCCCTCGTCGCACAAATCCTCAAATTCAAAGTGAGCACTGTATTTCCATCTCAAAACCTGCTCCTGTAAGCAGGGGTTTGGCGATGACATCGTATAACGTTATAATAGTATGCAGAACAGAGCTTTAAACTCTACGGTATCAGTGGAAGAACAGAATATGCATTTAACACAACTGCGGCGACAGGCCTTTGCTGAGGGGGGCGGAGGCGAGTCAGCGTGCTGGCTAGTGTGTCGGCCACACCGTGCACCGCTGCTCCGCACAGCCTCACGGTGGTGGCGTGCCCCCTGCCCATGCCAAATCTCCCTGTCCGGAAGTGGTTCTGATGCGAGGACCTCTCCCGGCGTGCAGAGCCTGTGGACTGAAGCCGACTGCTTCAGCCAGCGGTCAGCCTACGAAACTGCTCTGTTCTTGCTTTGGAGTTAGAACCGGCTGGGCTGGACCAGGTGGGTCCCTGCCGAGGTGACTGTGACGGCAACTTCTGTCTTATTCTGTGGCGTGTAGGAACCACCTTTCTAACTAACCGCCAGGCTAGTTAGTCTCTGAGCATCTTCCATGTGCCAGGAGTGTTACCAAAATGTGAATTTTATATGCCTACCCTCCTTTGTAAGGATGCATGCTGTTACATAGCAACATAATTGTTAATTTACTTCCAAACCTTCCATGTAACCTTTGTTTGTTTATAATAGCTTTTTTTTTTTTTCATTTTCTCTCCGAGACTATAAAATCTCCATCTTTGGTCTTTTAAAGGCAGAACCTGTCTTCCCTGAATCCTCTCTTTCAATGAAACTTTCTTCCAACACTGAGCGAGGACTGAAAACGGGTTAGATTTTTAAAGAGCAAGGACTAACTTGGTGACAAGGTTTGTCTGATGTCATCTGCAGAGCTATTTATACACAGGGCCTATGGCTTCTCACCGAGCTGATCTTGGGTCACCTCTGCCCCAGACTCCAGCCTCTAACTGGCCAGGACCTCTGAAGAACACACTGCTCTTTCCTAATGTGGTCATTAATTAGTGTTAATGAATATACCACATTGGTCCCGACAGAAAATGACCTCAAACTCATGGCAAATCTTTTCAAAGTGGAGGAAATTTTTTAAATTACAAGAATTTAATCCATTGTACAGAAACATTCTGTCCCTTGACCCCTAAGGAATGAGAACAGCCACTCCCTGCCGCCCTCAGCTTTTCTCCGCTGAAGCGGGAGCTGTATGACTGTAATTAAAATTCAATTGTTCTCTTAACAACCCTCTCAGTGCCTTGCCGCGTGCGGTGAGGCTTATCTGACCCGTCCAGGATGCAGGAGTCTGGGATCCTGACCACCTGCCCATCTCACATGACTAACAATCTTGTTTGGAACGATAAGGCGGTTCCAGGAATCTATCTTTCCTGGTTTTCTTTCCTCTGTGGAAAAATTGTGTTTCTGGAAAAAAAAAATAGCTATTAACCTACCTGCTTTGGGCTGAAGGAGACTGGCTCCTCCTGTCTGTCTCTTCATCGCCTCTGGCAAGATTCGGGGGACCCCCTTTGGCACTTCATTTCTGGGGGCCCAGAGATGATTTGCTCACCTCATAATTCAGAGTCCTTGATCAGAATTCGCTGGGGCTCCATGCTCTCATGACGAAATAAGGTTTCGGAGTGTGTTTTTATTTGACTCTCAGATGCTTTCTGCATTCAGAAGTAATCGAAGACTCCCAAGTCAGGCCAGACACATCGAGACTCCTGGACGGCCTTACATCTTGGCTCAACTCTGCACTGACCGATGGAATGTCCTGAAAGGGACCACTTGAGCCAAAGAGCTCCACGAGCGAGTCAGCAGAGAAGTAACAAAGCAGGAATTTGATTTTTATCTCCCTCGGGACTCTCTTCCAGCTGGCCTAGGGAGGACACAGTGATTCTCCAGAAATTTCTTGGACGTGGTTGAAGCTAATCTCTTCTGAGACTCTACATCCTCGCAACACTGCCAAGTCCACGGCAGGAAGGCGGCACGTGGCCAAGAAAAACACGCCGGGTGCTAGAGCCAGGCAGACCTCGGCTCCCACCCTGGCTCGGGCGAGTGACTCAGTCTCCCCGAACCACCAGAGGGAGAGACATTGTGCCCAACATAGGAACAAGGAAGACGTCCGATGGGCTGGGCATGAGGCGTGGCACACAGTAGGCACGCAACAGTTATGGGTTCACGCGCATCTCCTTCCTTCCAGAAATTTCGGCCCACGGGTACGGTCCCAGCGCTGCCACTGGCCAGTCCACCACTTGGGGCCGGTCACTCTTCTAAACCTCCATTCCTGCATCTCCAAAACGGAGACAGCGATAATGCCCACCACATACGATGGCTGCGAGAAGTGCATTTAAAATATATGAAGAGCCTCAAAACAATAAAAGTGGCCCAAGCCTCTCTCAGCCTCTGAGAAGCCCTGGCGTAGGCCCATGTGAAAGCCAAACTCAATGACAGAGCGAAATAATGAGGAAAATAACAACAACTGCAGGGGAGCTTGGCCGCACGGCTGACGGGCCAGGCTGCAGAGCCACTGCCTATGTCCCATCCAGGCGCCACTATGTTAGCAGAGATCTGAGCTGGGCGATATCGCTTACCTTCTCCGTGTCATGGCTTCCGTAGCTGTAAAACAGGATCATAACAGTGACCCGCCTTACAGCCTGCTCTGAAATACCCGGCTCACAGCAAGTGCTCAGTTAATGTGACTCATCATCATCACCATCAGCACGTCATGTGACTCAAGAAAAGAAAGCTAGATTGTAGTTGACAACGGAAGGCCTTTTATTTTCCGTGCAGAGACTGTCGCCGTCAGTTATCCAGCTGGCACAGAGAGGCCACCCCTCGGTTTATCCAGTGCTTCTGGGGCCTCTCTGTCGGCAGTTCGATGGAGAGGACGTAGTTGGTGGAGTGGCCCGTGGTGGACAGGGTGCCTCTGCGGGCACTGGTTTTATAGACCGGACACACGTAAACGTCTCGATGCTGAAACAGTGCACTTTCCCCAGGTTTCAGCCAAATGATGGGCAACGGGTCATAGAGGATTTTGGGGAGAGACTCCCCAATCTGCATCGTTTTCCTGTCCCAACGGGCACCTTCTAAGAAGAGTCCCTTTATGTAGGCGCCGTCTTCTGGGCTGCTCTCCATGACCGTCTCCCGTGTGGTTACCTGGAAGAGAGGAAGCTGTGAGCGCCATAACCTGCCGTTTTCCTCACTGGGGCACCATTAAGAGGCTGGAAAAGTGCCACCTGGCTGCAGTGCCTGCCTCGCCCAGGACGCACCTCCCAGTAGACGGGGGCTTCGGTGACGATGTTCCTGCCTCCCACACAGGGGCCAGGTGTGACTTCTAGTCAGCACGCTGCCCTTACTCACAGAAGCAGAGACTACCATGTTAACTGTAACTAAGCGACCATCCCTCGATACAGTGTGGGGTTAGAGTCACGTGCATGCTGGCAAAACCGTTCTTGGGGGGAAAAATAAAGCCTTGGTTTGCCATTTTGGTCCATTTCTGTGGTGTAAAGACCCCACCATGGTCAACGTCAGGTCATCAGCTCTTAACGACACGCTCCGGCTGGCTCTGGTGAGTTGGTGAGAGCTGGCACCGGCACACCGCGGTTCAGAGTCAGAGGTGGTACCCTCCATTCCTCTAAGTGCAGAAAGTGGTCTCGGGGTGGGGGGAACGACGGCGAACCAGAGAGCACAAGCTCCACTTGAAATCGTTCGAATTCTAGTCTTTCTGTTTTTGTGAACATTTCTACTTCTAAGTACTTATTTCTAGAATAGCAAAAGGGTATTGATTTCTGTATCGTTAACCACTATCCAGTCACGTCACGCATTCTCCTATTAATTCTGAAAGATATGTTTTCAGAGTCTCTTAGGATTTCTAGATACATAATCATTCCTACATCAAAAAAAGAAGATTTTATTTTTTTTTCCAATGTTTGCACCGGTCATTCTGTTTTCTTATGGCATTAATTGTGGCTTAACATTGTCCTCACAGGCCCATCGAGTTAAGTTTATTCACAAACTGAGACCTGGGGCCACCAGTCCATGACCTCTGAACCGGATGCTCTCAGAGGGTCTTCCCACAGTGCTCTACGTAACAGCCCACCTGTAGTATGGACAGGGCGATGCTTGGCCCCGGGTATGTCCTTTAACCTACGCCAAGCACACGACTACCCACGGCCAACGACACCCTCCCCGGTGAGGAGTGCGCCACGCTGAACACGTGGCATAGGGGGTGTTTTCATTTCTCTTGGCAGGACGAGCGCAGAGCTTTCCTCTGTAAAGATTCCGTTTTACATACACGGAGACAAAGCCTTGGGGGACTCCGAGTCTGTCGGGAATACCTTCCGGAGCCCCGTTAGGTCATGCTAAGGCGTCATTCAGAGCATCTCAGAGGCAACCGGGCCTTCGCACACGCAAATGTTAGAACCAATAAGGACATGGCCAATACTGGCTTTCTCTGGCCGACCCCTGGAGCAGGCCCGACCCAAAGTACGCCTACCTCAAACTCGAACCCGATGTGGTCGATGGGGATGGTGTGTCTCCGGGCGTAATTCTGAGAGACGCCCGTCAGAAAGGACTGTGTGAAGTAGAAGCCAGATATCCAGAAGACCACAGGAGGCCCGCCGTCAATCCAGTCCTGCAGAGCCGCAGAGGAACAGACCCCGAGTCAGCGCGACGTCGGAGGTCGTTCGAAGGCAGGCAACAGAAATGAGTCCCCACTAAGAAATTCACTTTTTTCTGATTTTCCTTGGCGCAGGCAGCCCTCTCATTGTAATTTACATTTTCCCACTTTTGAAATGAAGGTACAAAGGTTTGTTTCTGCTTTGGGAACAGCCCAGGGGCAAACGGGGGCCAGGGACACACAGAGCAGTGGGGGACAGGGGCCCCATGTCCACCGAGCGCTAGCCACCTTCTCCGGCGATGGCTGCCAAACAGGAAGGCACGTCCATTGTTTCGCGCCTTCCCTTTTTTTTGCAAGAAATCAAAACTTTCTTGATTTTTAGGTGTAATAACCCAATATTTACATGCTACCTCAAAAAATTTTCAAATTACTGGGTTACAAAACCAAATACATCTTCTTCTAGCAAATCTGGCGCATGAGCGACGTTTGCGACAGTGCCTACCCCTTTCCCCGTAGGCTCTAAGCTTTCCAAGAATTTTGAAAAGTCTCCCTTCCTGCCCGCAACTCTGGGAAGCCTGTTCCCGTAGGAGCTCGGCCCAGCGTGCTGCATGGGTCGAGCTGGAGGATGTCCTTCTCTGCACACCGCGCCCCACCCCCGCCCCCACCTTTCATCTGTCGTCTCAGAATGTACTGTTCACCTACATGAGCCAGGTGCCCGGTCACCCTGACCCCCGGTACCTGGAAGAAGGCCAGGCGGGCCAGCAGGTCGGCCACATAGCCCCCCAGGGCCTTCAGTGACGGGTAGGACTTGGCCATCCACATGGCTGGCACTTTACCCACGAGCACGCTGTCGAAGACGTCCTCCAGCTCCGAGGACATCAGGACTTGCCCCTTAATGGCTCGGCCAAGGCTGACGAGGCTTTTACGAACCACTTTGGTCAGCCTGTGGGGACAAAGGAGCCAGCTCAGCTCCGCTCGTCAGGGCCTCAGGCACACTGTCCCCAGGTCCCCTTCCACGGTTCCTGCCTCGAAGAGGTCGGACAGTCAACGTGTACATGCGTGGGAGAAAACTCACCGAGATGAGAAAAAATTAAATCACCCATCCTCTTCCCCCTAAAAGATGAACATATAGCTTTCCAGATTTTTCTGTATGTAAACACAAATTATTTTTTAATGGGATCATGCTATGTAATGAATTTTTTTGTGATCTGTTTTTCACTCAGTTCATAGGGATCTTCTTCCCAACTCAAGAGCCTTGCATCGTCTCTTTAATGGCTTTTTAATGACTGCAAGGTGTCGCGTCTTATTTAACGATTCTGTTCTCCCTTTGCTGAAACTGACTTCTTCTAGACTATTGCCACTGTAAACAACATCGCAAGGAGCACCCATTTGTAGCGATCTTGTGGCCATGTATAAATATCTTCTTACTAAAAGCAGAATTTTTAGGTCAAAGGGTAATGCAATTTTCAGGGTTTTGATCTATCCTGCCAAAGTTGTTCTTTGTATAGACGACGAGGTGCACCCCTGAGAGAAGGCAGCTGGGGAGGTGCCGAGGTCGCCCGCCCTCCTATCTGGCTTCTGGGTGACGAGGCCCAGCCACGCCCAGAGGGAAGGCACCTGAGCATGACAAAGAATCGGCCGGGAGAGAGGCCTCGTCCCCTCCAAAGGCTTGTGAAATCCCAGCCAAATGGACACAAGAATGATCAAATGCCAGAAAGAGCTTCCGGACGCACAAGCACTAAATGTTCACATTAAGGGATTTCAGGTTGAGCCACGTTGAGCCATTTCAGGTTGAGCCACCTGGTGCACGTGCTAGCGGAGGCATCGAGGGCAAAGTTGCCATCCGAGGGGTTATACCACACACCTCTAACCCCAATCCCTGAAGACCTGCGTGCAAAAGTTTTCCTTCTCTAGCTACTAGGAGCTCCGCTAGCTTCCAGGATTTTAGTACCCAAGGAAGGAGCATTTGCCCCAGGAGACACAATAATGGCTCCCCTGAATCGGAGGCTGAACCGTCACCTAGGCTTTTCGGGGCTTCTCACGACACTGGGTACAGAGGCCGAAACGGGGAGCGGGAGGAACGTTAAGATGTTGTCTGATGTGATTAAACCTGACCTTCATTGGAAAACGAGACTGCTGTCACCCTGCTCGCTTGTGTTACAAGGGCCGGTGGCAAAGTCCAGTGCAGGCCCCCGCAGCCACCAAGGAAGAGCTCCAGTGACCTCAGCAAGGAACGGAAGCCTTTATGCCCGGTGTCCGGGTGACTGAGAACTACATCCCGCCCTGCCAAAGAACTCTAGAGAGGAACCCTGAGGCCGAGAAAGCCAAGAAGTCCTTAGAGGACATCCTTCCAGTCCCCTAGTCCTTTGAAGTCAGAGCTGTCCATAAAACTGAGCGACAAGTAACGAGGCAAATGGCGGCAGCCGCACGGGGAGCGTCTGGAGCAGTGAGAACCTGTACTTAGAGGCACAAGCCATGAGCTTCCTCCTCCGGCCCATGGCGCCTCTGGGAGCCCTTCAGCTTCGACCATTTGTAAGTGAATTAAGATGATCTCACGAGGCTCTACGCCACGGTAACTGCGGAAGCGGGGCGGGAGCCCGTGGCCGGCCGGGGGCGAGGCAGGGGGTGGCTGGCCTTCTCCCCTCGCCTTGCTCCATTTACCCCGATTTCACATACTGGCTAAGTGCCTGGGCTCTGGAACCAGACAGCCTGGGGGCACACTCAGTTCTGCCACTGAATGCCCATGGGACCTTGCACTTAACCCTTCCGGGTCTCTGTTTCCTCATTCGTAAAATAGTGGTGGAGGGTTTACTAACTGTGCACATTTCAGAAGACTGTCGTGTGGCTGGAGGCAAACCCACGCTCCGAGGGCTCAACCGGCCTGGCGCTGATGCTGATGGTTACTATCAGCCTATACGTGGCAGTGGTTTTAACTTGACTCTGCAGATGTCACATGACTGAATGGCAGAGGAATGATTTAACCCTGGGCTGGCGTGTGTTGGGATGGCCTGATTTGCAGCCCTCCCTGTGGGCGGGGCAAACCCTTTCCTCCCAGTTACCCTGTTAGACCCTGGCCCTCGCACCCCAATTCCCAGGGTTTAAGTAGAGCCCATCCGGCCCACCTGTTGAATCTGATGAGCTCCTGCCTCAGGACGGTGTTCATGGATTCTTCATAGACCACTGGGTACAACTTCATGACCCTCTCCAGGTCAAAGTCGTCGGGAAGTTTGGAGAGGATGTCGTGGGCCAGCTCCTCAATCACCTCCTTAAATGCAGGAGAGACGTGAATGAGAAACAAGCCCGTGGCCTGCGGTTCTGTCTGGGTAAACCTGAAGCCGTCTGCATTTGTCTTTTTAAACACAGTCCGTGGGCCCTTCCCGGGAACACTCCTACAGAAGCCAGTCCCGCAGGAGAAGGGACGGGTGGAGGGGGTGGAGGGGGAAGCGGGGAGGGAACAAACCCCCACCAGCCTTGGCAGGTGGGGGTGGGGTGGGGGGACATCACCCTTTGGCCGAAGAAGTAAAAACCTGGAGCAAGCGCCCGAGGGCCAGGCGGGGCCTTCTTGCTCCGCCCCAGCCAGGTGGCCTCAGGCCAGCTGGTGCTTGAGATGGGACTCTTGCTCAGTGACAGGGACACCTGGGAAGGCAGGAGGCCATGCCTTATCATTGAGCAGTGGGCTTGGCCAGCCAGCTGGGGAGGGGACAGACCCTGAGGAACAGAAAGAGCAGGGCTTGGGTGTGGGCTCTGCCATCCTACGCCCTGCGAGGTACACACTCCTCGTGCACTTCCCACTGCGAGGGGGATTTCTACCCCTAAGTCGAGACCCCCCAATCTGCTGGTTTATCCTCACAGCTATGACTACTTCTGGCACTGAGAACCAAATCAAGAAACCGAATGCACAAAACCCACAGCTGAGAGGGGCCAGCGAGCGGGGGCGGGGAAGCTGGGGGAGGGAGGAGGAGGGCGTGCTGGGATCTGGAGCCGGGGCTTCGGGGCCTGCCTCTGTCCCCGAGTCTGTGGACATCGTGAAGCGGGTCACTTCCCCTTGCAGGGCTCATGTCGCCCTCGTCTGTGGACTGAGCAGAGGGAACGGGGCAGTGCCTCACGAAGCGTGGACTGACCACGAGAGGCACCCAGAAGGGTTCCAGGAGCTTCCAGGACATGAAGCCAATAGTGCTGAACCATACGGCCATAAAGTCGCCCTCCTTGCAAGCTTCAGATACCTTTTTCTTTCTACCTCCTTCAAGGAGAAAGTCTCAGGTCAGTGCTAACCGACAGTCTGGACACCTGCTTTCGCAAGAAGCCAGCAAGGCCTCGGTGGCATCGTCTGGGAAGAACCCAGTGACGGCCCGGCTTGTCTTCTTTTTGTAGCTGCCATGGCGTTCTGGAAATGGCGCTGGGCTTGGAATTTACGATACCGATATGCAATTTTTGAAATAAATGATTTTAACCCAAACATAGTTGGTTTTTAAATACCACGTGAGTGGAGTGGAGGTGAAGTGTGGGCGTAGCCACGGGCCCTGCCGGGGACACAGGAGGAGCTGGCATCCTGGAAGCACCGGTGCCCCTCCAGCTCTGCGTCTGAGGACACGCGGCAGGAGCACCAGAGCCACCGTGCCCCCTCCGTGGGTCTGCCCCCCACTCCGGGGGCTGCGCTCCCTCCTGCCTCCGCTTCCCCGCCTGCATAGCCGTCACCCGCCGTCTGTGCACCCCACCCCCCCAGAGAGAAAACAGCCTGTGAACTGGATTCGCGCCCAGTTACCTGGGGGGATTTGCCACTCCCCGCCGACTGCCTGGGCAGGGTCAGCAGCACCCCCTGAAACAGCTGGTTGGTCTCCTGGTTGTCCTTGGTGATGTCGGCATTCTCGTGCAGGCCAAACACCTCTGGGTGGGCCGTGATGGGAAGGCTCCGGAGGTACTCGATGTAGGACTGGAAGGGAAGCCTTCAGCTGACACACGTGGGTCACTCGGGGCCCGACCGGTCAGTCAGGGTCTGGCCAGACCCGGCCCGGGCAGGAATCATACTGGATCGGAGCATGGGACACACACATATACACATGCGTAACATACGCACGCATACACACACTCACGCACAGACACATGTACTCACACGTACCCGCACATCCACACATGTGCAGACGTGCACACATGCATGCACACATAATATATACACAAAGACACACGTACTCACACATACCCTCACATCCACACACATGCACAGATGTGCATGCATGCACACACATAACACACATATGCACACACAGAGACACATGTGCTCACACACATCCATACACATGTGCAGGCGTGCACACATGCATGCATACAACATAACACACACGTACACATAGACACAGAGACACACGTATTCATACATACCCTCACATCCACACATATGCGCAGATGTGCACACATGCATACACACATGTACACACAGAGACACACATACACATGCGTGTGCAGACTGCACACCCGCATGCACATGCATGTGCATAACATACACATGTGTGCACACACAATATCAGATACACATGCACATACACACATCCACACACATGCGCAGACACACACATACACATACATGTGCACAACACACACATGCATACACACAGTCACACACACAATCTCAGACACAAACACATGTACTCACAGAACTCACATCCACACGTGCAGACGTGCACACACACATACACGTGCATAACACACACACATGTACAGACACACGTACTCACACAGACACATCCATACACATGCTCAGATATGCACACACACATACATATACACTTGCATACACACATGATCTCAGATACACACACAGACATGTACTCACACTCATATCCACATGCGTGCACACATGCATGCACACATACGTACACACACACATACACATGCTCTCATACACACTCACGCGCATACGCACACACGCGCGCACACGTGCACACTGGGTGAACACATCCCAAGCTCTTCTGTGCTTTCTGGCTTTAGAGTCAGACAGAGCTGGATGTGGATCCAGCCCCGACACAAAGTGACTGTGTAACCTCGAGCCTGAAACCCGTTTCCTAATCTGTCGATGGGGAGACAGACGAGGTTATGAGGGGCAAGGCCTTGGCATAGAAAAGGGGTGCAATAAAAGAAGCCCCTCCCATCCTCCCTTGATTTCTCGTTTCCTCCTCTCCTCTCTCTCGCCCCATCCAGTGTTCTGGTCCCTTCCTTTGCCACCTTCTGAACCTTTGATTTCAAGTAGCACTTCTCAGCCCGTCCACTACAAGGCTTCACTCTAACGCCCTTCCCCACCCCCCAGATGGACCTCAGATTTTGGAAGACCTTGTCTACCAAGTACCCAGTATTCCTTATACGGCAATGATGTCTCTCCTGTAGGCTTTCTGGAATATTGGAAATAGCTTATGGACCCAAATCTGCAAGCTCAAGGCTACCCCTGGGCCCTCTTTGGCTGCACTGCAGCCTCTAGCCACAGGGAGACGGCTGAGACACCCTGGGGGACAGAGGGGCCTCTTCCTCCCCGCCCCTCACCTGATAGGAGCCGTGGGGAGGGATGTAGTAAGTGTCTCCAGGAGCAACATAGTAATGGTCCTGCTCGATTTCCTTACAGTAGAACGTGGACAGAAGGGACAGCAGGAGACGTCGGTCTTTGTCATCGGTCACTCTGCCTCCATAATTACACTCCCCTGGGGACAATGGGAAGAGGAAGACATTGAGCCCAGGGACGGTCACAATGAACTTGGTTATTAACCTCTGACAGGACTGATTCTTCGAGCCCAGGAGCTGTGCTGGGATCCAGGGGGGCTGAAACCACACGCGGCCTGGGATGGGACCAGGCCTTTTTGGTGTTACGGTCTTTACAAAAACAATCCACATTCACCACGTTAGAAATTAGGAAATAGAGATAAACTGAAAGAGAAGCAGTACAATCACCAACAATTCCACCAAAGGTAACTATTAATATTCAGGCGTCTTCCAGACCTTGGCCGATCCACGCTGGACACGTAGAGTGGGCAAGAAGGGATCTTTGATGTCTCGCACCCTCGAGGTCTGGGGACTGCTGGTCACCTCGGCCTAGCTAGCCCACGCGGGCTGAGCAGCGGGGTCTGAACGGTGGTGGCCGGCACTGTCCCCGGCTACTGTGCACCTGTGCTTCTGCCTGGTAACAGTGGGAACACGGCTCGCTCCTTCAACAGACCAACACGCCGCGTGTGTCACTCAGAGTTTCATGTTAGGGGACATCGTGCCGAGGGAAGGTCCGCGAGACCTATAGCCGAACGTAATCACCCGAGAGCAGGATTTCTCGGCCTCGGCACCGCTGACACCGGTCTGCAGCGTTCTGTGTTGCGGGGGGTCGTCCCGTGCACGCCATCCCTGGCAGCTACCCAATAGCGCCCCCATTTAGCCCAACAATTAAAAATGTCTCCAGACCTTGCCAATGTCCCCTCCCTGGGAGGCAAAACCACCCACGACGGTCAAGAACCACGGCTGTTAAGCCTCAGTCTCGTCCGCCATAAAGTGGGGCTACAACATGGAGCTCACAGATGGCTGTGAGACCACGCACTGATCACGCTGGAGATGAAAAGGGTCCCACGGAAAGCCACCTCACAGGGAGATACATCATGAGTTCCTCGCAGGGCAGGCCACAGAGGGCGGTCACGCCCCAGGCCTGTAGCTCCTGTAGTAAAAGGCACCTCTTTGCCTTCTGCAAGCACCATCCATGGTTTCTGTGCATCTAGGTTAACGCGCCTTTGCAATAAGCCATAACCACCCTCGAGGGAGAGAGAGAGACAGAGAGACAAAGACAAAGACAGACAGAGAATAATCTTGTTACCCTATAATCCCATCCCCACCCTGCTTCCTCCCACTTTCAAGGCATCTTCCGCTGCAAACTGTTATTCTGAGAAGCCTTTGTTTCAGTCTGTCGAGTTCTTGATTCCAGGTATACCCTCTATTTGGCTCAAATAAATTCTTATAAAATTTTTTTTACAGGTTTGGGTGTTTCAATGGATATAAAGTGCCTGCCACAGGCATGGGTAGCTAATCCAGACAAGCGCCTTTGGGGTGGGGGGTGGGGAGGGACTCAGGAAGGAGCTTGGGGGGGCCCTGAAGCTGCTGGGTCCCCACTGGCTGCATTTTGACCTCTGCTAGTGACACTCCATTCACTTAGCACCTCTTCTCTAGTTTATCCTGAGGGCTGCTTCCTCCTTATCTAAGGTTGCTGGTTGGATTGCTGATTGGATTGCTTTAACACAAAACAGTGAGTTTTTGCCTCAGGGCCCCGCCCCCTTCACCCCCTCTCCCATCTCCCCTCCCGTCTCTTACATTTATAAAATTCCTACTCAGCCCTCCAAACCCATCTTCCTGCCTTCATCAGGTTTTCCATGATTATCCCCTGCTCCATCCCTGAGATTTAATCATCGGCTGCCTTTCTACTTTACAAGTGTTTCTCTTGTCGAACTCATCACTGCATTGTCATTTTTTTTAAAAAAAAATATTTTTCTCCTTGTGAACCATTTGAAGATAGAAACCATATCTTAATTTTGCTGCTGTTTTTTTTTTTAAAACAACATCCAGCATGGTGGCCAGCATTGGTAAGAGCTCGATGATTGTTGAAAGAATGGGGGAGTAAATACACGCTTGGAGATGCAGCAGGGGAGTCGAGGGAGGGCGGGCAAGATCCTGGAGGGCCCCGGCTGCACCGGCCCCTCCCATACACACCTGTCAGGTAGGTCAGAGCCTCAAACGGCACCTCCTTGTACTCGTTCAGAAACATCTGGATCTGCCGCATGCTGATCCTCAGGTCCGACTCGTTGAATTCATACGGGATGTTCCAACCTGCACGAGGCAGAGAAGGGTCAGAGGCTGCCGGGCTGGGCATGCTCAGTGGTGCCACTTGGGGGTGGCACTGGCGGAGTTAAGTGCCAGTAGGGACCAAGGGCCCTTCAGCCCTGTGCTGTCAAGCACTGGGCCAACTGTTAGCATCACTGCCAACATGGAAACCACACCGCCTGAGGAAGCATCCGCTCCAAAAGCAATGTCCTGTGGGTTCCCTGTTTTGGAGGGAAGGTGTCAACACCCTGGGGTTTGTAGGATGAGAATTTACTTGCCCTGGTGGGACACCAGGTAACGCACGGGGCTCCAGAAATAACACTGCGGCCTAGCTAGAGAGCAGTGTCTACGACAGGGCGGCAGGATGAAGCCAGCTTTGAGAAGCCCCCTCTTTGTGGTCATGGGAGAAGTGAATGGCTGGCCTTAAAGAAGCTACCTCTTACTTTTCCAAGGATACGATGATCAGTGCCCAGTGGGGCTGACAAATGATATAACTGCGTGACTTGGGCCTGGGTGAGAAGCAGGGGACGGTGGGACCTGTGCCCAATGGAAACGTTTCGTTTCCTCCTAAACATTCACGTTCAAATGAAAAATATAGCACAATAAAAAAAAAAAATCTGTTCTGGCAAACAAAACACATCTGGGCGGTTGGCTGCAAGTGAAACCTGCATGGGTTTTGGAGGCCTGGCCTGGAGGGAGAGCGTGGCCTGTGAAAGGCAGGCGCCTCCGCCCTGGCCGTCTCGTTCCTGCACACCTCTGTGGACGGGCTGGGCGGCACGGGGACCCAACCGGGCTGAGGTGTGCAGAAGGAAGACGCTGCTCAGAGAACCAGCCAGAGGACGGTCTGCCTCCGTCCCTAACGCAAAGTGACCTGAGGTGGGTCACTCGGGGCTGCTGGACAGATTCAGAGGCAGCTCACAGGTTAGGGGAGGGTCAGCCAGCCTTAAAAGCACGATGACATGGGATCTGTTTTCAGCAGTTTGATGATCTACTCTAACACGAGCATCAGGTCAGAGTTAAGTTAAGCCGTGGATTGGTACGTAAATGAAGAAATTTATTTTTATTTTTTCAAGAAGCACAGACGAATGTCCCAGCTGTGTTTCTTTCGTTGTTAAGCACGTGTAAAGAGAGCTACCTAAAATGTCACAAATCACCTCGTGACAGCTCCCTGGAGAATGGCCCTGGTACCTACGCTGGGCCCACACGCTTCTCATGA